AAAACAAAAGAATTTTTCTACATCTACAAAAAAATGTACTTTTGGTTTTGAAGGCTCACGTCACGTGCATGCATGCACTTCAGAAAAAAATTCAAAAAATTAATTTGATAAGGCTGCATTCACACACGGTACAAAAATTCTCGTTTACATGACCGTACAAGCCACTTGCAACGCCTGTGCATTCACACAGTCAAATGCAGTGCATGCCAAACACGTAAAGTGACCCTCGTGACCCATGGCGAAGAGCGGGAATTTTGATTTCTGCATGAGCTGAGCGCACCGGTACAGTGCTAGTGCGGCACTTGGCTCAACATTTCAAAAATACTATTTCTTGGTCCGCTAGTACGTATAGCAGTATGATCTCGGTGGAACGCCTCCACAACTGGTGTATTCCTCTGAGTGTGCTGGAGTTGGAAACGATCGCGGCCGTGTACGTGTATATCATTTCCTGATCACCTCCGGATAGCTGCTTTGCGTACAGGTTCAGCTCATCTGCAATCCTCATCTCGGGAACAGCTCTTTTCATCATAGTTCCACTTTCCTGGTATTTTCTCCATGGACTATAGTTCTATCAGTCGTAGCTCCACCTCGGCAGAAAAGACAACTCGAGGCATGGTACGGATTCACCAAAAACTAACAAAAACTCTGCGCACTCAACACACCAAACCACTCGTTTCAACTTGCCTGAAAACTAAAAGTCGAAATCCGCTTTCAAAGCCGCCTTCAAAGCCGCTCCGGGATGGCTTTGAACGTTCATGTGATTTTTCACTTTTCGCGCATGTTTCCATGCCCACTTCAAAGAACATGATGCTTGTATGCGGTTTTGTACCGTGTGTGAATGGGGCCTAACCGCAATCAGTAATAGGTACAAGCTGGATAGACATTTGTGTAGAGGGGACGGCTCGATACCGGGACGTTTTGACAGCCAAATTTGTATAGACCCAAACCGATCATCAGCGTTGATTTTTCACTCGAACTATGTTTGTGGAAGGAAACTGGCATGTTGAAGTTTGCTCTGGGGCCAGAGTCAATCGAACTGAGCCACTCCTTTGTGTTGACCCATTGCGTCCAAGTTGCCCAATTTTTCGCTTAAAAAAAAGTTCAAATCAGAGGTGGCTCCAAACCGGACACGTTTTAGAGTGCACGTCAAATTCACTCTGGGTCTGAAATTAGGTAATTGCTATCGCTCCACGACGGCCAGTACAGAGTAACAATAAGCCTTGTGTGTGATTCCATTAGTTTTGATTGGTATGCGGTGCTTGACGAGAGGCGAGCCGCTGTTTACCTGCGACAAGAAGTTGATTTTTCGAAAGTCGTAAAACTCAAGTCGCAGTGCGAAGCAACACGTCAAAAACTCACCTGCTTGATATGGCGCTTCTGGTCATCACAGAGCCATGAAATTTTGGCTCGAAGTATAACACATCGTAGTCTCACTGTGACATATGTTTTCTAATCAAAATACCAAGAGAGAAAGTGAATATTGAGTCCGTTCCGGTTTGCAACCGGTGTCCTATTTGAAACCGTCCCCTCTACACTTTATTCATGTAATGTAAAACTGTGGAGACAATGTGCAATAAAACGATGAAAATGTGAAGAAATGGTGTAGAGAAAATGAGGATTCAAACAAGTTTTCGTACAACACTCATCAGGAATCTTCGTTGTACTAAAGGACAATGAAAACAAAATTGAACTATTATAGAAAATCTAAGTTAGAGAAATAACACTAAGAACAACAGCAGTGAAATTTACAAGTGTGAATTTTATCAATGAAAGCGAGAGCAATAACGAATGCGTGTACTAACACTAAACTTGCAACTGAAAAATGAACAAAGAAGAGAATGGGACAAAGTGATAACAAATAACAGCAGTACATTACACCTAGAAAATTAACGGCCAAGCTTGGCCGCACCAAACATGACACTTTACTTGAACAATTTCAACCCAATTATCTATCCTTCTGTACACACAAATTAGGCTTATACAGACGCTGACAGATGGCTTCCAAAACTTTTAACTGTAGTCCATAACCATGACGACCACGGCACAATATAGTGAAAGAAGAGTCGGAATACGAATTGCAACAATCACGACTAGCCAACAGATGATTGTACACTGAAGACTTGCTACCACGAAACCTACGCACAACACTAGCATTCTCACCGGCACTCTCACGATCACTACAATCGTCGCTCTCCGACTCATTACTCCCTTCACCGTCCGTCCCATCATCCGCTTCCTCTCCGCTCTCTCTCTGTTATCCCGCCTGACTTGGTCCATTGAACGGGACTCGGCCGTCACCCTGCTGTCACGTCCCTCCTTGCGCCCTTGTCCGTTGAGTGCGTAGCTTCTGTTGTAGTTGGCTGTTGATCGTCTTGGTCTTTCAATAGTGGGCTTGGATGGTGGATTAGTTGTGGTTGCAGTAGATTGCATTGTTGGTGATGGTGTGGGAGCTGCCGATACGCAAGGTGGGTCTTTTTGAGTTGGCAATTGTAGTGTTATTGCCATTGTCAATGTTGCTCGCGGTCTGTCACTGGCAAGGTCCACCGCCGCAAGAGCCGACGGCGGAGGATCAGGAGGAGGCAGTGGGACCGGGACCGCAAGCGGCACCACCCCAGCCAAAGCCGCCGGGGAATTCATTGTGTATATT